GACGCGATCGATGCGAGGCGGTGCGACACAGCACACTGGTAGCCCTAAAGCTCTCACAGCCCTTCAGAACTTAATTTCTGACAGCGGGACTCCCAGTCGTATGCTACGAGGCGCCAACCTTCTGCTCGGGTGTGGCGTAAGTCTCCCCGGCTCACGGTGTCGGTCACGTTGGCAGAGGAAGTGACTCGTTGCCAAGCCGGGCGTAGTGAGCGCGACTCGATGCATCGCCAGCTGCGCTGCAACAAGCAGTTGATGGACTCGTCCCGGCCGAAGCCTTTGTTTGGAGAGAGCATGCCGAGCTGGCTCGCTGTCGTTGTCGACGAACATGATGGTGTACTGATTGAGTTCGTCGTGCAGCGCAAGGAGGGCACGATCTGGGCTACAATGTCCAAGATGTAGATGTATGCCCCGCGACTCGAGAACTCTCGATCGAACCAATACGGCAAAAACCATGTGCGAAGAAGCTGACCTCACACCTACATACAGCCTACAGTGGTCCGTTGCGCTCGGGAGGCGTGCGTCCCCAGCACGGAGTTTCCTCGTCAGTCGGCTTCCAGGTCTTGTCAAAGATTGAAGAAGGCGTCTGCCGTCTGCATAAACGACAGCGCGTGGTGTAGGCTCCAGCGGATCAGCCCGATGCCGTGTTTGAGCTGGCTGTTGAAGCTCCATCCGTTTTTGTCTCTGCCATGGCCGAGAGTGTAGCTCGGGAGGCCGGCTTCACGGCCGGCGGAGCGGTACCGCGGCCATCTCCCTTGGCTTTGGCCTTGCTTGTAGGTGCCGCAGGCGGTGGCGGCGGCATCAGACCAAAAACCTGCATGGGCTGCTTGGCGAAGGTGATGGCCTGGTCGCGAGCAGCGATGTGGAGAGCGTAGTGACCATCCATTGTCAGCCACGCGGAGTGTCCCGCACCCGGCAACCGACGGAGACCGTCCACTCCAGATGAAGTGAAGCACACCCGCAAGTCATCGTCTGTCAAAGAAGATCAAGGAAGCCAAGTTGTGAACACGACCGAGGCGTTGCGAAAGAGGTCGCCGGTCACTGCATCTCCGGAACTGCCCGCGGTCCCGCTCGAAGAAGCACCTCGTCCGGACATGGCGGCGCGTGGCGAGGCTATTTCTTGAGACTTCGAGCAAACAGCAGCTGCGGTATCTGCTGCTGTCGCTCGTACATGTCACTCCGTGCAGCACGTTGCACTACACTACAAGAGTGGCATTGTGAAAAGCCTGAATGAGCTTGCTGGTGTAGATGCGGCCATAAGATGCCATAAGCAGAACAATTGTCGTGTTCGAGAGGAGCTTTGTGTTTTGCGCTGTGAGATGATAAAAACCAATTTCTAATTTTGCATTGGGAATGCCGTCCAACATAATCAGGGTTAGCAGTTAGCAGTCTGAGCACGAGAGACTTTCGCGGGAGGTGGCCAGTTTTTGGCAGTCTCGCCATTGAGGATCGAGCTTCATCTCGGCCAACCAGTGGCGCAGGCTCTTTGCAACAACTTGCAAATGAGTGGGAACCTGCAGCAGCCAGTAGTTGTCAGCCGGGACCAATGTGTGTGTGTGTGTGTGTGAGAAGTGCGCTTCCTGCACGTGCACACCTCCTCGCAATGAGTGGTTGCTACATGTTGTTACATGTATCCGTATCAGGATGCCGCGGAAACCAAAAAGCATTCTGATGCATTTTGACGCCTCGTCGTCGGTCTCTGCTGAAGCCACACTGCTCGCTGCTCTGCGAACCTTGGCAAGTGCTTCGAGTCAAGTCACAATCACACAAACACTCTCTCAAAGCCTGTAGGCAGCCTGTAGGGTGGGGCGTATACAGGCCCTTTCTTGGCGGTGCCGTCACTGCGGTTTCAAGAGCCCTGGGAGCGCTTGGCCTTTCGCTTCAAGTCTATAGTGGAGTCTAGCGCCACAGGGTTTCATAACGAGCACCCTCTGCTGCCTGCGGTCGGCTCCCCGAAATTCCGGTCTCCAAGCACGGGGCTTCCTCCTGCTCCTCTGATATGAAAGATGCGGCGCTGGTGGCAGTCTTGATCGCCTCGCATTGGCAGACATGCGGTCGACAGTGAAGAGCAGTCTTCTTGCACCACGGCCTCGTCTGACTCTGATACACGCCAATCTAACTTCGTCTCCTGCGTGTTGCAGGTATACTTATTGGCCGGTATATCCCGGTTTATTACCAGCCCTTCGGACATCCTTCCGGAAAGTCACGTGAAGTGGAAAGTCTCTTTGTGTCGGAACGAAGTCTTTGTCGAAGAACACTGGAATCAGCTCTCCGTGCCGATTGAACACCCGGCACTCCTGCAATGCTTCGTGGATCACTAAGGGTGTGCACCCTGTGTGGACTACAAGAACAAGACGGCTTGCATAGAATCGCGTCGACACGCTCTTTCGTGGCTCCTCAGGCTTACAGTCTTCTTCTCGAAGCAAATTTCGAAGCAGCGTTGACCAGGAGTCAGTGAAGTCGATCACAGCCTCCGATGCCCGTGGCCCAGCTCGTTACTCCGCAGGCACTCCTTCCCGGAGCCTCGCCGGCTCGCCCGGCACCGGAACTGCTCCTTGCGAGCGCGCACGCATGGCGCGCTAACGCGACATGCCCACGGCCGACTCCGGAAGCCATTCGAGACGTCCTTGTCACTGTCGTCCTCTCCCCCGATCTTCCTTAACAGCTTGCCATTGCAAATGGTCCAGTGAGATGATTCATCGGTCCTCCACGGTGGTTCTGCTCCTCGATATCATCCGTGGAACAGCTGCCTGTGATCAAGGTTCGACCGTAAGGTTAGTTCACGTCAATGCAAATTGCTCCTGGACCTCCAGGAGTGCCAGGGGCAGGGCCGCCATCCGCTCCGATTGAGTCCGGTACCGAGTTCTCCCCCTCGCCTGCAGGCAGCGCCGGCTCACAGCCAGCAACATCCTTGGGGTGCCCAGAATGATCCCCGGCGAGTCCGATCCTGCGACATTGCAGTAAACCCTCAGGCAGCCCTCTGCGACGCTCCTGCATGCGACATTCTTGCACCTTCCCCACGCTCACCCGTGCAGATTCAAACACGTGCTATCATCATCATTATCATCATCATCATCGTCATCATGACCATCATCAGAGGCTTCTGCTCTAAAGGCAGGTATTGAAAACTTGCTACCAGTATCTGTGCTGGCCTCGTCGGGCTCGAGAGGCCCAGGCATCGGAGAGTTTGGGCCTCGGATGGGGAGCACTGTGCATACTGTTCGTTGCATGCTAGTGTGTGAACGTGTGTGAAGGCTACACGCAGGAGAGGGCTGAGTGCTTGCACGACATGTCATACGTGCCCATCGGAGTGCTACATGGCTCGGGTGAAGACTCTCAGCACAAGGGGATCGAATCAGACAAACATGATGCAAACACCACAGGGTTTCCTTGCATGCAGACTTACATCTCTACCATAAGGCTTCTAAGGTTAAGCCACCCTCCTACCTGTTACAACGGCTGGCAGGCTGAAGACTTGATTGATTTCCTTCCTGGTAGAGCTGCCGGGTTACGTTGCAGATCTAATTTGCATCGGAGTCCTGGAAGCAACTCAGGCAAGAAGCCTTGGTGCAGCCTTGCTGGCGGGGATGTCTCCCAAACCAGAGAAGGGAGGCCTCAACCTCGGGACGATGTTGTATCACCTTTGGCATGGTGTCTTCTCATTCCATGCCCATGTGACTATAGTCATCATTCCTGCTGCCGCCATCACTGTCACCATCCCCGACTGCTTCTTACAACTGACCGGCCGAGCAATCAATCAATCGATCAAGGGATCAACCAATCAATCAACATATGTGCTTATATCTTTCTTTGTCCATGCCTTGACCTTGATGTAGCTATCTGTCTATGTGGTATATATATATACACACGCGCACACACACACACACATGTGTCAATCTATCTACCCATGTGCATCTCCCTTATGCTCTCTTGGCACATATATATATATGTATATGTATATGTATATGTATATGTATGTGTATCCTATACATACACCAGTACCTCCGACAGCTGTATCCCTGTCGCTATCCGTATCTGTTATGCCTGTGTCTATTCATCTTTGTCCCTCTCCGTCTCTCTCCCACTTGGGCACTGGGTTGTAGTCTTGGGGTCCTCAAACATATTTACGAATAGGTACTTCTATAAGAATAGCTGAATAGCCATAAGTGAATTTTACCAAAGTGCCACCAAGGGAAACACTGTGTAGCGCGGTGTACTACGTGGATCCACGTGGTACGTCGCGGTACATACTGCATCTAGTATAGCCGACAGCTCTCAACCTCACTTCTTTCGAGGGTCAAGTCTGCTCCTCAGTGCCACTCCTGCTCACGTGGCTTCTCCTGCGCCTAATCCGATTTCTATACCTTGTTCGGCTGCTAACCGCTGACCTATCTTCCGCGATCTTCTGGCACTGCATCATGTTTGGCACCGATTTGACTGAATCAGCCTGGGCTTCGGCAAGGACGGTGGAGCACCTGTGATGTTGTTGCGCCAGTGACAGCAGGCAATGGCAGGCAAAACCAGGTTCCCAGGCATTCTGGCGACTCCTAAGCACACAGCGCAGGCGCCGTGCCTTGCGACCAGGCCGTTTTCGGCGGCATCGCGCAGGACGACCCGCCCAATTCTGTACAATTGCAAGGGTTGTAAGTTGTAAGTGCTTGTGAACTGCTTGTGAAGAATGCCGTTGTTCTCTGCGCAGGCTGCGGAAGTCCTTCTGTCATGTGATGCTGCCTACTGCGACCCTGCACTCCACCCGTAGCAAGAAGGATCAGAACCCCGGCCCGACACTTCCGCGGATCGTCCTCTGCACGTTTTCGCGAAGCTGCGTGGTGTGCTCAGCGCGCACTGCGCGGCATCGCAAAGTCAGGAGCGGAAGAACTGAGCCTCGAAAGTTGAAAGGCATTGAAAAGGCTGCAAAGGGTGCAGATTCACGCAGCATCACACAGCCATACTGAGCACATGACCAAGAAGTACTCAATTCCGTAAAGAAGCAGAATCACTCCCACAACAGTCAGCGGGCCGACAGTCACCTCAGCTCACAGAACTTCACGCAATTCTGGGCGACAGGCCAGGGCTCGCCCCAGGGCTCCTGCTGGAACTTCTTCACTCCAGTACTCCCCGAACCAGAACTCGTGCCACTCCTCCAATGCGAACATTCTTCCACATGGCTAAGACCGCCAGAAAATCGAAGCACATCCTTCGAGATTTTGTCCAGCGCAGTTTGCAAACTTGATGGGGCCTATGGTACACATGCTTTGGATCTAGCGGTGGCGGTGCGCCCCTCAACTATTCCAACACGCCTCCCGCTCATTCTCGGACTCGTCTGCGGCCATCACCTGACTCGTGCGATACTCAGGAATAATCTCTGTGGAGATCCAAACCTGCGCTCGCGAGGTCTGCACGCTCCGCTTTCCATGACGCCTTCCCCGCAAGCCACGGAATCCATGGACTGCGGTTGCCTCTGCATCCAAAAGTCTCGGGACTGTCGCTGGTGCTGCCACAAGTAAGCATAAGTTCATAAGCATAGAACTGAGGAGTGGACAATCATTGCAGCAATCGATGCGCAAGGAAAATGTCGATGTGCTCCTCTTTGGGAACCTGGCATCTGGACACTCAAACTATCTTGAACCCAAAAAGTTGAGGAATGTATCTGTCCCACACTAGGAACAACTAGAAGAGTAGTGCTCCACAGCAGGGGTAGGGGAGGAACCCCTCGCCAGGCAGACGGGGACAGCGCATTAAATTACGTGCAAATAACTCGTCAAGCATGCTCGGGCAACATTTTCACATTCATGAGGCATGCTACCATGCCTGCTCGGGGCGCGGATACTTTGCCGCACGGCCCTGCTTCTGCCCATGACCATTTACAGCCCACCTGAGGATGCATCATGGCAGTTGTGTGCAGAAGCATGGCTCCTAGTTCTCCAGTTGAGTGCAGGTAGTTTCGTGCATTCCCTGCGCATGGTCTTTACTGTTCTTCTTCAGCTTCTGTCAAGTGACACCATGTGTGGTACTGCTCATACAGCTGTCTGCCATGATGCGCTACTCCAATTCCGACTTCCAGATGTTCAAATGTTAACCCACTCACGGCTATGATTGCTCGATGCAGCACTTGGGGACTGAACCGGCCTGGGACGGGGTGTGCCGGACATGCCTGTCGCCCGCACGAAAGCAGCTCTTCATGAGGACAGCAGCTGGCGTTTGCCGCGTTTGCAAAGTATGACTAAGTATGACCATTGTGATTTGAAAACTTGTCGTCTGAGCTTGGGCTTCCTGTGATCACTTCTGCTAGGGCCTAGCTCCATTTCCCACGATTACCATTTGTCATTCTATATAAGGTCATGACATGTGTCTCGCACGTGAGCAATGTACGGATTGCGATGCGGGTTCCAGGAAATCGCTTGTACTTCTTGCTCCGCACACCTATCCAAGGCTTGAAGAATCGGGATGCCCTGCACAAGCATCATATAGACATGACCAAAGTCGCTTGAGCCTGCTCCGAAATACAAAGCGCCGAAGAGGCTCTTCAGTCCTTGTGGTCCTGTCGTGGTTGTTGTTTTGCATTTAGCAACTGCGCGCCACAAAGTTTTTACCCACTACAGCTAGAAGAGTGCGGTCCATGCATACACATCGTCTATCATCGCCTTTCCGCGACGGGGCGCCCCACAAACGTTCCTAGCCAAAGCCCAATCAAGCGCACACAGCTGCTGATATCAACAGCACCTCTGGCAGCAGAATCGGATCAAATCGCTGTCTACAAGCAATATGGCAGAGACCAAGACCCCTAGGCACTCTCACATGCCTTATGGGAGGAAGGCATTCAGCAAGCTTCAGGAAAGTGCACGGAAATTACCTGACTCGTGTCACCCGCAAGATATAATATGGTATGCAACGAAAGTGCTGAAGTGCGTCGAATGCTCCTTTCCGAACCGAATTCAACCGTGCATTCGTCGAGTGAGGTTTCCCCAGCATTTGAATGCACTGCGCCCATTGCTAGAATCACAAGGTTGTGCACTTCGATGCAGGGCTCTCAAATGAATTTGCATAACAGTTCCATGCTGTCACAGTCTCCTATGCCGGGATCATGCTACATCACGGGAGTGGAGCATGACCTCGCGAGCAACAGCAACGACACATCTAAGTTGACACATACTTCTTCTTGCTACTTGACGTTTCTTGAGTCCGTTGCTCAGGCCAAATTGGAAGCAGCTCATCTGCCAGTGCTAGCCTGGGCAGTCAGGACTCCTTCTTTTCAGCGAGCCAGGTTGCCTTCTACCACATCTGCAGCTACGCATTTCGAACCCCTGAAACATCCTGAAACTGCCGGCTGTCAGCGCCGGGTCATGGGCGGAAACTCTTTCGGGATTCTCCTGTGCACTTGTCCGAACATTCAATGCCGTCTGCGAGCACCAGTCGCAGCGAAGCTCCCGAGATCTCCCGACCGTCCTTGCAGCTGCTGGATATCGCTTTTCGGCCTGGGGACAGCCGCTGCTTTGGGAATCTGGGGATCTTGCGGCGGCCTGAGCTGTCGACAGGAATTGCAGCCTGAGGCATGCCGAGCATGAACATCGTGGTGCTGAGGACGGCGCTGCACAAATCTCACATGTAATTTTGCAGCCTGAGGATCACCCTGCAGTTGTCCGAGCAGCCGTAAGCCTTCACCGAAGGCAGAAACCACAAAAACTGGCACCTTGGACCTGGGGAGCTTGAGGCGGCGACATTGGGAAATGACGATATCGCAAATCCTGCAAGCGAGCTGCAATCCCGGGAAAATGATCTTCCTCAGCTGAAGGATTCCTGGTAAAGACTGGCAGCACCAGGTCTCTGATGTTGGAACCGCAGGTCTTGCTTCGGACCTTGGCTTCTGATCGCAGTCTGGGTGCTGTACGGTGTACGCTCTGCGATGCTCTGTGTTAGGACAGGGCCAGGCGCCATGCCCGGAAAGCCCCTTCGGAAGTGGGACCTCGCTTGTTGGAACTTCGATGAATAACTGGACGCCCCATAAAACCGATACCTTCCCCAGGTTGGCACAGCTGCACGGAATAACGTGTTTCTCAAGCCGTTTGCAGTTGTGCTCGCCCGCCTCGAGCGCCATCTGTGAAAACAGAGTGCACCTCATGGTTCGACAGAGGGCACTGCACGGACCTGCAACCTACAAGTCCATTGTGCGCTGGGGCAGGCGCTGCGAGCAGAACAGACACTTGCGCCCGCAGCGAGGACGGCTGAGCCTGAGCCGGTCCCATAGGCCAGGCGAAGCTCAGCACAAATCCCGGCCTCCATTAACAATGTAGCTGAGTGTAAGGATGGGGTCAGACAAGGACGATTGGATGAGTCACCACGACTCATGATGAGGCGGACGGATGCACGCTTGAAGTCTGTTCGAATCTCGACATGCGCCAGCCGAGTTGGACGTTGTAATGATTTGTAATGTGTCTCCATCACCATGACCTTGACATAGCCTTTTCTGGTGTGTCAGCATGTCAAGGGTGGCAAAGTCCAAGCAGGCAGTCATATTATAACAGACCAGGATCTGAGATGCGCATTTGTTTAGGCTGAAGCAATCAAGCCAGACGAAGGTTTCAACATTCACCCCTGACAAAGACATGACTATGGGGCTGCCGCAGCGCGGCGTTTACAGCTCAAGGCCCCCCAAAAAGGCATCGTATGACTTCTCTTGTCGCGCCTGCATCTCGTTGTCGTAGAGGCAGCACATGTTGATGAATTTCGCCTGCCGTGTTCTTGGTGGCGGATCTACGTACACCAGGCACAGAAAACATAGCAGCTTGCACCAAGCAGTTCACGTCACGCCAGCATCTGTCTCCAATGCCTCAGCAGACATCTGCTTGGCTGAGGTAGGAAAGGCTGAAGGGGCCTGCATTCAGCCAGGTGCCCAACTTGAGTGGCCAGCTGCCTCCTGTCCTCGGCAACAGAGGATTGGTGCGGACCGGAATCGCAGAACGCCTCATGTGCAGCAAACGCACAAACGCAAAAGGCAAAGCTTGCAGATGCCTGAGGTCGCCACGCCAAATGTGGAGGCAGGTGTGCAGGAACCTGCAAATTCACTAGAATAATAGAGCAGACGGAACTAATTACACTCAGGCATCGTCCAGTCCGCGGTGGGACGGTGGAGCGTCGACTGCTGCCTGACGGAAGGGTAGGCAGTTCTTAAGATCTACTCGCTAGTGCTCGTTGCTTAGACTGGACATCAGTTAATTCGTCAACCAAAGCCCCAGCCTGCAGAACACCAGCTTTTCCGCTTCAACGATGTCTTTCTTGCTCCTCCACATTGACCCCGAGTTGATCCCATCAGCGAATCTTGCGACAACCTATTCAGGTTTGAGAAAGTGAGGCATCAGAGTTTCAGGTTTGAACGGCACGCTTGGCGAACCAATACTAATGCGGCATACGTAGGAATTTGTCAGACCGGCACATGCGAGAACCCCGTGTCCAGCTTCCATTGCAAGCATCTCTGATGTCGCCACTCCTGCAGTTCAGGAAGGAATGGAAGAGCAACCGGAACACAGTACTGCAGTATTGCAGTATCCGATAGAAATTGATTTGGTTGCCAAGACCTTGGCAATATTCAAGTCTTACCAGGTACTTGCCAACGCCGATTCAAAACCCGCTCCTGTCACGCATGAAATACCTCGGCAGGCACGCTGGACATGTAGCTTCGATCTTCCAGATTGGACGACAGTTAAGCCGCTGCGTTTATTTCCGTTTTAGGCTAATTGTGGTATCTCGAAGCGGTGCCCCCCCTATCTCGTTTCATCATGTTAAATACGGGCAGAAAGTTTTGATCTCGTTCAAGTATCGTTAATAGCAGCCGTTTAACTCTTGCAGCCATGCATGTCCACTAGCAGTAGAAGTAGTAGTAGTAGTAGTAGCAGTAGTAGTAGTAGTATCAGCACTAGCACGAGCACTAGCACTAGCACTAGTACTAGTACGAGTACTAGTACTGGTACTAGTACTACCCACGGCACGCGTCGTTTGCCCACACACATGCTGCGCTGCTGCTGCTGCCACTCGTCCGTTCTGCTGTTGCCGATGCTCAAAAGACCAAACGCCTGTTCGTACTACTATGAAGGGGGCTTTGTCGTAGAATTCTTCGTCACTGCCAGTTTTTCCAATTATGCAACGTATGTGCTAAAGCAACAAGTTCTGGAGGCGAAATGCCAGAGTCGCCATGCAGGGCTTGTAGGGCTTGCAAATTTGCCAAGCTGAAACCGAAAATCCGAAGGCGCAAGCATGCACGGAAGTTGGGACTATCTGTTTTGCTCACTCGGCCGCTTCCTGCCGAGCCAAAAGCACTTGTCGACTGCACAAGCATCTCGGGGGTTGATAATCACCCGTCGGCTCTCCAATGCCAGCCTGTAACTCTTGTGTGCCCACAAATTCAACCGGCTCTTGGCGGCACATAAGAGTTACAGGCTGGCATTGTTTAGCGGACGGGTGATTATCAACCCCCGAGATGCTTATGCAGTCGACAAGTGCTTTTGGCTCTGGCAGGAAGCGGCCGAGTGAGCAAAACAGAGAGTCCCAACTTCCGTGCATGGTTTTCAGGTTGGCAAATTTGCGACCCCTACAGGCCCTGCGCGGCGACTCTGGCATTTCGCCTCCAGAACTTGTTGCTTTAGCACATACGTTGCATAATTGGAAACACTGGCAGGGACGAAGGATTCTACGACAAAGCCCCCTTCATAGAGATTCGGCGCGGGCAAACCACAAGTGCGTACTAGTAGTAGTAGTAGTAGTAGTAGTAATAATAATAAGAATAATAATACTAGTAGTAGTCATCGTCGTCGTCGAAGTCGTAGTCGTCGTCGTAGTAGTAGCAGTAGTATTAGTAGTAGTAGTAGTAGTAGCAGTAGTAGTAGTAGTAGTGGTAGTAGCAGCAGAAGTCGTAGTTGTA